TTTAAAGAAAAGCTGATGTCATAAACACATTCTATTACAGTGTCACTAAGGACCAGACTCCATTCTTAGTTATATAAACCCTGAAGTACTACCAGACTCCAAAGAACTGCTTGAAGTACAAAGAAAAAGAGGGAGGAGAGTAAACAAAGCTCTACAGGAATTCTTAGAATATTTTTTCATTATCAATCCTTGGCAAAGAAACAGACAGTTTGGAGGTGGGAGTAGACAGGGGAGAGCTTTAAAATAATCATTTATAATTTATATCGTCTCTAAATATCATGGCATCTTCTAGTCACAGAAATTTAGGGTGAAGAAAATCATCCGACAAAACCCATTTCTCCCTTGCCCATATTTTCACAGTAAAATCTGAGACCCAAGAGAATAATTTTCCTGCTAACTAGCTATCAAATAGCTTCCTCTAATGAATGGCAGCAGCTTGTTAATATTTTCAGGCTATTTTCATTTTTGAGGTCTGTAATCCCTAAGAACAACATAATAATGATTAAGTAAAATTCTGAGATCTTTTAAGCCTGGATGCTTTTATTATTATGAATTCTTCTCTATTAAAAGATCAGTTTAAGGCAAACCCTGATTTGAACCTCCTTTGTGCTTGAATTGGATTGATTCTCTTGGAACACTGTCACATCAGGCTCCCACTTCTTTGGGCAAAATCATGAATTGGCTGATGCTGTCTTGAGGCTTTCCTATGTCCCCTTTCCCAGCATCACTTTTCTTCTCCATTCATGGACCTCTTTCCATTACCTAGGAGCTTCCCATGTTGTCTTCCACATCTGCCTACTGGAAGTTGTGTTCCAGACCCTTTGTCATTCCTGCCTTGCTTTGAGTTGATTGCTGGACAGGGGTGACTAATCTGACAGTCTCTACTAAAATGCTGAATTGGTCCTCATTCTCTCCAGAATTGTTTTTTAAGCAGACATTCCTGGAGATGCTATCAATATCTCAATCCCCCAGAACATTGCAATTATTTCTGGTGAATAGTAAGAAGGGATACCTAAGTACAATTGGACCTTTTAGAAAAGTGAAGTCTACTGGGTCACCTTACTCTGCCTAGGGCCTTAATTGATGTAGGAACCCATCCTCCCTGAAATCATCCTTGAGTATAGGAATGGAGCCCCAAACATGGAGTATCCAGTGGCTTTCCACTTCACCTAAAATCTATATTCCTTTTTATGGCCAAAAAAGATCTAGCCTCTCTCTACCTGTCTCCATCTCTCACCAAGGCAATCCAGGCAAACTGGCCTCCATTCTATCCTTGAACCTGCCTTTTTGCAACCTCATTCCTGTCTGAAGACCAGCAGTGCTACCTTCTAGTTCTTGACATGCAAATTACTATTCATTGTGTTTCCCAATGCAAATGTCATCTCCTCAGACAATCTAAAGTAACCCCACAATCTCTTTTTTCTAATACAACATCATGTTTTATTTCTTCATGCTATTAATCACCATGTGAAAAATTTCTGCTTCATCTTTTTATTTACCTTCCCCTCCCACACCCCCCTTTAGACCCTATGATTTATGATAGTCATCACTGAATCCCTAGTGCTTTGCACAGAACTTGGTACATATTTCATGCTCAATAAATATACACTGAATGAAAAAAAATGAATAGATGACTGCAAGCATTTAACCCTTAAACTTAAGTAATTTGGAAAGAAGTCTTTGTTGTACTAATATTGGGAAAGGGTGAGGGGATGGTATAAGTATCACCTTAACAGGATGGCTAACATATAAGAGTTTTTATTGATCATGGACTACAGAATTTTTATTTGAAAATTTATAAATACTGAATAATAAAGATTCCATTTGCCTTTTTCAAAAGCTGTCCTGTTCATCAGATGCCAAAGTGAATGCTAGTGTTCCTTGAGAAATTCTGCAGAAGGATCTTATTTTTCAGTCAACTTTGAGAAACTACATTTCTCTTTGTCCAATTTCTAGCTGTTATAGATATGTAGTGTCTATTGCTAGGACTTCAGAAGCCAAGGAGCAACTTGCCTGCCATAAGATCCAATGAATGATCTCTCCCAGTATGCAGTGTAACTCAGAAGAGAAGCAGCACTGGGAGGAGGATAATCAACACAACATGAATATTGCTAAATCTATAGTTTATATTTTATTATCCAGTAAAGTTCATACCAGCAGCCTACCCTCCCCCACCCCCCAAAAAAGCCCAGAAATCTTGTTTTCTATCATACAGACCCAGTGTACTTGCTTGCAGCTTAGAAGAGTTGTCTGAGAGCAGTTCAGTAAGGCTGTAGTTGGGGGCTAATGTACAATTCTCTTAAAAGGCAAAATTCAGGCAAGTCAATGGATTACATTTTCTTAGGTTTTCTTTGTTATATATAAAATAATCAATTCTGCTAAAATGAAACTACAAGGATTTTAAAAGTATCTTTTTGTTCTAAAAATATTAAATTAACTGGTTCAAAAAAAACCAATGGGTTGGGGAGAGAGTGAAAGAAATAGAGACAGAGACAGACAGAGATAGAAAGAAGAGAGAAACAAAAGTCAGTAGGACCTAAACAATGTAATATTTCCTTTAAGAAAAATGTGTAGCATGAGAGAACCTTATTTTTAAAGAATTACAATGAAACTTTTTTAAGACCACATATACTAGGAAAGTTTGGTTATTAACTCTTCTGGATGAACTGTTAACACTTAAATGACAAAGCTCTGTTAACTACTATTCTTCAGCTATTTCACTAACAATTTAATTTATTTAAGAAAATACACACAATTCCATCTTGATATATAAAACAAAAATTTCTTGTGTTTTGAGGGGCAGGAGGAGGAAAAAGTTGTCTTTTCACCAAATCTCTTCTTATATTAGCGCACTTCCCATTGATTTTGTCTCATTTTTATCTTTTTTAAGGTTTTTTTAAGGAATTCTTTTTAAATAACTTTGTTTTATTTGTTTGTTATTATTATTTATTATTTTTTATGTGGTACTAAGGATTGAACTCATTGCCTCACACATGCTAGGCAAATCTCTACCACTGAGCCACAACCCCAGCTCATTTGTATCTTTTGGTGCTTCTGCCAAGGTTATCCATTTCAAGTGTAGTATTGTCACCAGCCACCATGTACTGTAAAACTGTAAATTTTTTGGACTCTTCATGGACCATTTACAATCTGCAAGATTTGGGGTGGGTATGAAATATCTTCCTGCCAATGGAGAGTCACATCAGCAGTGCTAAAAACCAATCCTTCTGTTTCACTCATGGTGCCATATGGTTCCACAAAAAAAAAAAAAAAAAAAAGGAGCAAACCAAAACTGTAGCTAATGCACCAGTCAGTATGTGTTTAGACAAGTTCTTTGATATTTTGGTAAGGAGACCAAAGTGTTTGCTGATGAATATATTCCCTCATTCTTTACTTGTCTACCTCTATGGACATATACTAATTAATGATGAAAAGCACGGAAGTTTAATATAATATTTTAAGATAATATCTTGCAGTAAAATTGTTATAGGTAGGTTCTAGTTTAAAAGAAAAATCTCGGGTATTTTGTAGTAATGTCGTCTAAAGAATTAAGGATCATGGTTCTTAACCCTTATCAATGAACAATTCGAGTAGTCAGGAACAATTAAAATACAAGCTGAAGCAACAAGATAAAGTTGTGTCCCCCTAGTGACCTCTAGAGTGGAGCTGAGCTTCCATAAGCAAGACCTGGGAAGAAAAAGCAGGAGCACGCCAAAGCACAGCACATCGCAGTAGACCAAGCCAATATATCCAACAGCCCCAGCTCTCATCTCAGAGTCATGGTTCTATTTTATATAACCCCAAGGTGTAACAAGTCTCCGCCTTCCACGCCATCAGATCCATTGAGTTGAAACCCAAAATCTAACGCCGCCCCCTTCTCCTCGCCCCCACCCTCAGATTCGGTTCCCTATTGTACAGCCTTCCTCACCGCGCGTGGTGCGTGGTGTCAAGTCGACTTCCACCTCTCCGCAATGCTGCAGACAACCTCTCCAGCACTGCTAGTTCCCCAGTGACAGCGAGAGAGGCTGGGGGTGGGTGAGCCACGACCTCTGCGAGTCCGCGGAGGGCGCCGGCAACCTCTCACCTGCTTCCTCCCAGCGCTGTGCTCTCCTCGTCCCAGGGAGCTTCCCCTTCCTCCCAGTCCTGCCTGCTGGCAGGACGCAACCCAGAAGGCTCCCTCTGAAATCCCTCCCAGGACCGAGCAGCGAAGCTTCAAGTCACTCCATCAACAAGATCTTCCTTGTCCTCCTTGTTATTCCCCCCACGCACCCCACCCCAAGAACTTTCCAACTTCGGAAGCCTTGGTTCCTAAGGAACGACAGGGGGACGACTCAGTCATTTCCCACCTGGGCAAGTTGGAGAGGTGATAATAGCCCTCAAAGACCTAGCAGTAGCAAGTCCCTTTGAGCATCAGAGAAAGAGAGCCAGACAGCTCCAATTTCCTCGGATGGAGGTTGAGAAAATGATCAGAACTTGTCCCCCTTGGGATGAAGAGGCGAAAGGAGAGGAGCATTGGATACAAAGAATAGAAGAGATGTTGGAGAGACAGGAACAGGAGAGGGAGAGTGGGGAGAGATGAGCAGAGGAGAGAGAGAGAGAGAGAGAGAGAGAGAGAGAGAGAGAGAGAGAGAGAGGTGTGTGTGTGTGTGTGTGTGTGTGTATGCTAGGAGCCACAAGTCGCTACTCTCAACCACTGCCCTGAAGGGAGAAGGTGCAACAGATAGAAGCCCAAGCTCACAAAGTAGGAAAGGGGTGGGGTGACAAGAAAGAGTCTCCAGGTTTCCTCAGGTTACAAAAAGGGGACAAACTCCGGTCAGAGCGTCCCCAGAGGTAAAGGGTTGTGAAGCCGTGCTGAGGTCCCCCCACCCCACCTCCTGAAGAAAGGAAACTCTTCCCCGGCTGGCAGGCTTCCACTTAGCCGAGCCTGGTAAACAGGCGGGCCCGAGGGGCGAATGGAAGGTGAGAAACGGGATGGAACGAGCCGATGGAAAGGAACTCACCCTTGATGCTGGGGTTTTTTCTCCTCCTGGCCATCTTCTGCCCTCTTCCCTCCCCCAGAACTCCTTCTCTGCTTCCTCCAGCTGACGCGCAGCTCCGGGAGCTGATGCGGTGGCTTCAAGGCGAGCTCTCGCGGCCGCTCTCCGCTCAGCAAGCTCTTTGTTGCTGTGATGGCATCTGCGAGGCAGCGGCGGCGGCCGGCTGCGCGCTCGGCTCAGCTGGGTTGGGGCGGGCGCCGCCGCCCCTCTGCTCTCGGCCGCGCGGCGCTGAGAGCCCCCAGCTCGCGCTGCTGTGGCCGCTGTAGCTGCGGCCGTGGCAGTGGATGCTGCTAGGCTGCTCGTGCTGCTGGAGGGGGCAGCGCTGGATCCCCCAGAGCGCCCGCCCAGCGCTGACCTCCCCCTTCCCACAGCCTCCCTCCCCCACTTCCCACCCTGGGTGTCCCGTCTGAGCCACAGCTTCAATCCAACTGGCGACGGCGCCCTCATCCCGCAGTCACTACTGGAGAAGACCACGGTGGCGGTGGCGGTGGCGGGGAGTGGGGGAAGTGGAGAGACCGTGGCCATCTGGGGCCGTGGCTAAGGAAGCCAGACAGCCCGAATCTGAAGAAGCCTGCATTGGGCCTACCTGCCTTTGGGCCTCCGAAGCCCCTGCCCAAGCAGCAGGACACAACTAGCTCACCAAAGGGACTCATCTTCATAGGCCACGAACTCCTGCCAATTGAGAGAGGACCAACACCATCACTCTCCAGCGGCCCGGAGCCGCCCTCCTCCGCCACCTGCTCCACATTCCACGCGCCCCAGAGCGCGAGATAGCCTCTGCCCCTCCAGAGTCAAAAGGGGAGAGAGGAGAGGGGAGAGGGAAGAGGGAAGCTGAAGGCTGAGGGAGGATTGAAATTACATTCCAGAGGCAGCCCACCGCCAGACTCTGCAAAAAGGACTTTATTCTGGCCCTAAAGCTCTTCATAACGGGAACTCATGGTCATTCCCTTGGCACTGTAGAAAAGAGGAAAGAAAGTTCAAGTTCTCCGGTGTTGGAGGAATCGGGAGGGGGAGGAGTGATTTCTTAGCCTCCAGTAGAAACTTAATTCCCTTGGCCGCTTTCTTTCTCGCTCTGATCCGTGATTTCTTTAGAAAGTTTTTATTTTCCTGAAGGAGCTGTCCTTCTCTCACGTGCTGATGAGGGATAAGAAAGAAGCCAGCCATTGTCCTGAGACTGCTAGGCAGGCAAAAGTTTGAGACAGGTCTGAGAATGTAAAGGAGCAGCCTGATTTTAAAACAATGGGGCAAAGGGTAGGGTAGGGAAGGGGCTAACAGCTTGTGCCACCTTGGGGGAAGGAGGCAAAATTGTTGGTGTTGTTCCCTAATGCACTTCCTAATTTCTTTTCCTCCTCCTAGGTAAATACAATTCCCAACCCAATCTGATTATCTAAATATTGAATGATTTTATTTAGTACCTCTAGCGAAAAGTTGTTCCAGCATCAATGTACAGTAAAAAGAACACTAGGGTCAAAAACTAATTTGGGGTTCTGGCCCTGGAACTTCATACCTCTGAGAAATTGGACAAATCATTTATTTCTTCTGTTTTTCTGTTGTCTAGTCTGTAAAATATCATCTCAAAGATTTTCTGAGATACGTAGTCACAAAATCATCACAAGCTATTTTGGGCAATCTTTCTAGGTTTAACTTGACATAATGCAATATGTTGTTGTAAATAATCTGAAGAATGTTTGTGAAATACCCAGTTCCTCTCACAACAAAGATGTGTATCAGAAGTAAAACACAAATAGCAAGTTTATTTTATTTTATTTTCAGTGTTGATGATCAAACCCAGGGGGGCCTCACACATGCTAAGCAAGTACTCTACTATTGAATTACATCTCCAGACCACAAGTTTATTTTAACAAGCAAAACAGAACCATCCTCAGATTTTTGCCAAACATGAGACTTTGTCAAGATTTCCCTCTTCTAAGAAAGCTGCCTCTCACTAAATTAAAAACTACTGTTAGCTGGGAGCAGTGGCACATATCTGTAATCTCAGCAACTGTGGAGGCTGAAGCAGGTGGATTGTAAGATTGAGGCCAGCACTGGTAACTTAGTCAAACACCCACCGTCTCAAAAAAAAAAAAATTTTTTTTTTTTAAAGAGATTGAAGATGTAACTCAGTGGTAGAGTGCCCCTGGGTTCAATCCCCAGTACCACAAAAACAAGACAACAACATCATCAAAACTAGTCTTCCAGGACTTCACATTTTTAAGTTATGTAAATGCTGGGCTGGGTAAATATTCTTAGTGTTTTCTATGTGCACATATTTTATCACTATGTACTAATCATTGCCTATATCAGAATAACATTTTTTTAAATCAATGCATTATTTTCACATACTTTATTTCATTTGATCCTGACAAATATATGAGTTGGAAGGTAAGTTTTGTCTTCTAGGATTTACAGATAATGAAAAGGTATTTGTGGAGATGTGACTACTTTCCCACGGCTTCTAGGACTTCAACTCAGTATTCCAGCTCTTCCCATGACACCTGCTACCTATAAAATAGACTTCCTGCTTCAGATCAGGTACAATTTCCTTTTCTGCATATTCTTTCCATAGTCCTAATGCTATTCTCAACAGAGGAAACTCAAACTTTTAATTGATTATATCTATTTTTGTACATTGATAGAATTAACATTTTTATATTTGTTGCACTTCAAAATGCATTATCTCAATTGAAGGCCACAACCATCACAGAAAATCATCAAAAGAGCCCCACTGTGCAGATGAGAAAACTAAGACCCAGGGACATTAAGGTCACAACTGTCTACATGTAGCCTACACTCTATGTTTTTGTTCAAGGGATACAAATAGAATGCCCATAAAAACCAGTAAGGCAAAGTAAATGACACAAGCAGTATATAAGAATATCTGTTGTATTTGAGTGAGGGATGGAAATGGTAGGGATCTGAGAGCATATATACCACTACTCAGGTGCATGTGTGGGAAGGGAGACCTTGGGTTATAAGGATTCTGATTTTTCAGAGAGTCGGGAATCCAAGTTTTCTGGTGAAATCATATTTGTAATGTTGACCTACTATGGAAAACAAAAACAAAAGCAAGGCAAGTCTAACAAGACACACCTGCCAATAATACACAACATATATGTTGTGTGTCTGTATCCATTTCTACATCCCATCGAGTTTTATCCCCAGAAAATGGGGACTAACCTGAATCCTTGGATATGGTTCTGATTCTTATGGCCTCAGTGTGCCTGTAGAATTAGAGATTATCAAGACTTTGGTAACAAAGATAGGTTTTGTTTTTCTAAATTTCCGGCAATTCTTAAAGTCATCAATGAAAATGATCTAACTAAATAATTCTAAGTCACATGTGATTCTGCTGGACATACAGACACATACACATTTTATTCAATGATGATGACATGTATAAATTGCCTATTCTTGATTTCTTTTCTAGGAAGGTTCTGAATGAACCCTGCCAAAAAATAGTCACATTGGTAACTTTAGTTCTATGTAGTGTAAATCATTCTTCTTGGATTACTTATAGAGTTGGGGAGAGACTGGATGTTCCTCGTGTGGAAATATTAAGTGAGTTAAACAGGGGAACTGAATTCATCATAAAATTACACTAAAGACCAAAATAAAAATATAATTCATACTATACAAGGTGTGATTGTCATTGGTTGTACGTTAGTGCAATTGCAATAAAAAGGTTGAAAAATAAAACCCTTAGAAGATGTTGGCTGAAATATTTTATCTTAAATGTCAACCCACAAGTAGTTTAGAGAAAAGGAAAAAGAAAATCAAAAGTTCCACTTTTTGTTTTAATCACATTATTATACCAAAGAATGTCAAAAGAATCCAAACTCACCCTGCTGTTGAAAAAACACCTACAATTTTAAAATTGTATGTATTGAAAAATTGTAATACTTACCTCAGCTGATATTTCAAGGGACTAAACAGTTCTAGGTAGAACTAGGAAAAGGTAAAAATAGAATTGTGGGAAGAGACTGGAATCAGCCAATTGGTACCTTAAAAAGAAATTCCTGTGGCACTTACATGTATGCAAAATCAACAAGAGAAGAGGATAAAGGAACTGTAGTTGAGTTCCTGTTCATCCCACACACTACTATGGACACATGAGACTTAAATTACACTTACCTTTCTTGCTGATAACCAGTAGAATGCAGATACTTACTACAATAAAATTTCACCTGATTTGAATGGAGAGTCCCCAGCAAGAGCCTGTAGAATTTTTGTTTCTTTATCTCACTCTGATTATACCTCTGATGGACCCTTGTCTTAGGAAACATGTAATTTCTTTTATGTATGTTTAAATTGTGCAGAAAGACATGAAATTCTAAGACATCATTGAAAGGTTTAAATATAAAGTCTTCACAAAGAGACCCCCTAACACTTTATTGCTTTCCAGCTACCCATATCACTACCATCATTACGAGCAATTGAAAATATCATGATGAATCTGTGCAGTGAAATTTTTTATTTAATCTTGTCAAGTTCAATTTACCAACTGTCATCAAACCTACAGAACAGCATTCCTTGAAAGGGAGTTAATTAATAAGGCACTTTTTAAAATCTACAATGAAGCCAAAGAAAGCATTTGTGACAGCCAGGAAAGCCTAAAGCTAAAATTTCTGATCATATCATTCAGAAATTCAATAGTGCATTACCAATGTGGTGAATAACATAGAACAGATCTGGCCTGAGTAAGGCAATCTGTGGAAGATGCTGCCAGACATTACATGGGAACAGATATATTCAATCCACATCTAAATTTTCAAGGTTTTCCAGGAAACATATAAACAATTAAAATTGTTTTCTTTGATACACCAGTTGTTCTATTCAAAGAAAGAACACTCATACCTCTGCTAGTTTCCAATTAATCAATTTATCCCCATCTTAATCTGTCCCATTATAATTTTAATTTCTGTTTAAAACTTTGCTCCTTAACTCCAATTGACCAATTGATTGTCTCATGTGTAAATGAGCAATCTGCATACAAAATAATGGATACAAAATAACTTATTAAATGTTTCTGGCATGTTTGAAAATAGAGCAAGTTTTATCTTCCATTATTTTCTTTTTTATTTCTATTTATTCATCTATTATCCAACATTTATTCAACAAATATGCATGGAGT